TGTTAACAAATAAGTGAGCTGTATTAGCAGTTTGTTTCAAAAAAAAAGAAATAGCAGAGGGAATGTTGCATTTTTCCAAAATGAAACCAGTTACAGCCATAAACAAAATCAGAATTTGCTGGAAAAACTCCAGAACTGATGGAGGGTCACTGGACCAGAAACACTAATTCTGCTTTCTTTACACAGATGTTGCCACACTGAGTTTTTCTAGCAACTTCTGATTTTGTTTCATATTTCCAGCATCCACAGTTCTTTGTTTCCCACCCCCGCACCCCAATTACAGCTACGCCAACAGATCAAGGAACTTTAAAGTGAAGAGAGGGTGGATTATCTGCAAAACTGCTGAAGGTAAAAAGGAGTGGAATATTTAGCTCTGATATTTGTAATAAGACCATTTAAAATAGTTCCTGCTTAGCAGAATACAGTTAGCACTTTCTTCCGCACCTTCTGTAATAACCCTTTGGTGCTGCTGTGTTAAAAGCACATTGGTCAGTCTCCGAGGCTGCCAACACAGTAAACAAGTAGCAAAAAAAAGAAAAAAAGAAACTCGTGGTTTATTGGGCCAGGTCTCACTCTGGGATCTGACTTGGCCTTAGTTGGGATGCTAATAACATCACCACAATTCACATTGTAGGAGGATGGAAGCGATGTGCTAACGAATTTGAAAGTCTTACTTTGAGGTTTTTCATTATCACATCAACATAACATCTGAATGCATCATGATCGAACATTTTACAAGTTCGCGAATAGCACAACATGCAAGGGGCTAAACTGTGCAGCTCCTAAGTTTCCATACAGTACGCATTTCTTCAAATTGAAGTGTTACATATGAAATTGGTTGAGATGAGGCCATCAGCGTACACTAAGATCATGATTTCCTCACACCCTGGAAGTGGCAAGAAGGTGGTGAAATAATGGGGAGTGTTGGCCCTGGAAACAAACTCAGGATCAGGAACAACTTCTTTCTGGCTGTTGTTATCAGACTGTTGAGTGGACTCTAGCCTCAAATAATATAACCTGTATGCCTCTAAGATTTTTTGATCTGTTCATCCTTTGCTTGCTGTGATCTACCAGTACCGTTCATAAACAAAGCTTTTCACTATATTTCAGAACATGTGACAAAAAAGTCAAACTCGCCCACTTCAGGCCACGCACTCAAGTTCCAAGTGAAAAGATCCATTGGTGACCTTGCAACCAACCACCAATTAAGGCACTTAAATAGCCATTAATTGATCATGTAAAAGCCTCAATCTGTCACTTCCCAGATCACATTCCTCCTCAGCAACAGGAAAGGTGGCTAGTTTACTGACTGGAAAACCAGGACACCCCACCTGCGGGGTAGGATTCTCAAACTGCCCCCCATCGGAAGGTCTACAAGAGCTACATGCCTACCCTCTCCTCCAATCTCTTCAACCAGTCTCAACAAAAACATGAAGTAGTCACTTATCATTGGATCCTTGGACGATTAGACCTCAAACAATGGGACTTTAGGACACAGAAGCTTCCAGCCTCCAATTGGAAGGTAGCTTCAAGCAACTTGCGATGCCATGCCAAGGCTTGCAATTGGCTGAGAGACCCTGCCTATGCTCCATTGTTAGCTATTTAATGGACAATAGACAGGTGATAATGGCATAAGTTCTCCATATCGGACCTAGTGTATTTGATACCCCATACCACACTCATTCCAACATTTAAAGGAAAGAAAAAAAAAGAGAAAAATTCAATATAAATAGAGTTCCCTACTCTTCTTCACTGGATTGATATCTCCAACCTGAAACAGAAGCAAGCAAAATGGAACTGGTGATATAAAAATAAGGGTAAAATGCCTGCTTTTGGTACAAAGGTCATTCATTTTCCAAAGTCAACATTGACTCATTTGCACAATTAAAAAAGTAACACTGCCCAAGGACTAATGTAATGGGTCACTGTCTTCGAATGCAAGTATTTTCTCTGACATCCCCCAACAGAAAATAAAACACCGATTGACAAATTTAACAGTGGCAACTTGATGCAGTTGCAGTTACACAGCCAAATGGGTTTGAAACAATTCCACACAGGCTGGTATCCTGTCACCAAAGTCACCCTTTATTTACACCCGCATAGTTTTCTTTATTCATTGACGGGATGAGGGAGTCATTGGCTAGGCAGCATTTATTGCCCATCCCGAATTGCCCAGAGCCGGTTAAGAGTCAACCACATTGCAAGGGGTCTGGAGTCACATGTAGACCATGGCAGTTTCCTTCACTAAAAAGGACATTAGTGAACAATGGATTTTTCCCAACAAAATCGACAATGGATTCATGTTCATCATTAGATTCTTAATTCTAGATATTTATTGAATTCAAATTCCACCATCTACCATGGCAGGATTCGAACCCAGGTCCCCAGAACATTATCCGGGTCAGCAGTCCAGCTATAATACCACTAGGCCATCACTTCCCCTCCAGTACATGACACTGACCCAGCTAGCTCAGACTTGGTTCCTCGCGTGAGTAGGACCCCCTAACACTCTTGTTTATATCCATCAGCCAGGACTACCTGATTGGACCAGTTTAACAGCCCCAATCAGGGAACTCATTGAGATCCACCTGGCTGACCTCATTGTTACAAAAAAGTATTTCAGTGGGAGTGTAGCCACCTTGCTGGTTCTGTAGCAATGATAGATTTGCTTTTAAGCATCATTCACTACCTGAGCTAGAGCAAAAGCCTGTAATCAGTCAGAGCTCAGGCCAGCATCT